AAAAGAGTTAGTGTCAGAATATATATTATAATTGTATATAAATGGGTCCACCGTCCACTGCTACTCAGTGCTACTCAGATTGGAACCCAATTTTGGATCTGTCAACTAAAATCCGGACCCATCATGAGACGCAACCAAAGAAGCTCAAGTTGCTACGTGGCGACCCAAGATGCATAATTTCCCCCCCTTCTTTTCCTAATCATTAGAACTAAAAACAATTAAATTAAAATAATTCAAAAAACTTAAAAGCTTCATAGAATAATATTTCAAAAGCTATTGATCTTTCCTCATCTCATGTGTATATACTATATACATCCCAATCTCAAGTCACAACAAACTATTGTTAAATTAAAAGGCATTGCCATCATCACTCATCAGCCCTATAAATATAAAAATTCCACAAACTTCCCTCCAAAGTTAGTTAATATGGCTGATCACTTCTTATCAGACCTGGAAGACCTTACACACTCTCTTAATTTGACAGATATTGATCCCAACAAAGAGTTCAACAATTTATTTCCAGGGATCATAAGTAATCCAACACACCAACACCCTTTTGGCTCAAACATTTTTATTGACAATCTTTTTCCTCATTTGCTTTATCACTCACATGGAAACTTGGATAGTTTAATCCCTGCTGGATTATTATTCCATGAGAATAACAACAATACGGTGCCTTACGTTGCATTGAACGACTATGGTAATGGCGACAGGAAGAGGAAAGCAATGGAAAAAAGCATCAGCCCTGCAAATTCATTCCCTGAAAATGGGATTGGAGGAAAAAATGTAAGACCCCTTTTTTTTCTTATTTAAATTAATTTCTTTGACTTCATTTTGTAATTATATGATTTCATTTCCATTGTCTTCTNCATTTTTTTTTAATTTTATTTATGTTTGTTGTGTTGTGCTTGAAAGGGTGCGAGAAAAGGAAAAAGGGTGAAAGGCAATAATGAGAAGAAAGAGCAAAAGGAAAAGGAAGTTGTTCATGTTAGAGCCAAGAGAGGCCAAGCCACCGATAGTCATAGTATAGCAGAAAGGGTTGGTTTCAAATTACTGAATTGATGATTAGAAAGAGACTTTAATGAGAGAAAATGCACTCAGAGATTTAGTCTAACTACCAAAAATAAAAGCAGAAAAACTCATTCATTTATCTGTGTGTCTTATAATTCTGATAAATAAATATAAGTGGTTTTTCTTAGTGTAATCAAGTGAAGTTGAGGGTAGGTTTTGTAAGTATCTTTTACTTTTGTGTGGATGTGATAACTTTGCATTGCCTGTGTTCAGATCAGAAGAGAAAAGATCAATGAGAAGATAAGACAATTGCAAGACATTGTGCCAGGGTGTTACAAGGTCAATAACTTTCATTTTATTTTGTTTTTTTATTCACCTTTCTCAAGCTTTTTCTTTCTTTTTTCTTTCGATTTCCCTTCAGGTTCTGTAAAACTTATATGCTTGTTTTCTTTTTCTTTTTTTCTTCTTTTTCTTAAAAATGAAATGAACAGACAATGGGGATGGCAGTAATGTTGGATGAGGTCATCAATTATGTGCAGTCCCTGCAAAATCAAGTGGAGGTGAGAAGTTGATGTAATTGGTAAAATGGAAACAAGTGTCAAGAGATATGTGTACTATTAAATATAGAAAATAGGTGGAATTTTCTGTTGGCATTTTTATAATTAATAACTAAAAATGAAGATCCTGCTCTCATCAGGTGAATCAAAGGTTGATAGAATTTTTTGGTTATATTTCAGTTCCTTTCAATGAAGCTCACGGCAGCAAGCGTGTTTTACGATTTCAATTCAGATTCAAATACTTTGGAGACAATTCAGGTTAGCCCTTTCTTGCACAATAATAATTTTAAATTGATCCTTGAGTAAGGCTGTTTATCTATCAAAAGTCAAAGGAGTATTTGTAACTGAAAATAACTAATTCTGATACGCTATTTTTATATTTGCAGAGACCAAAGGCATTTGAAGCATTAAATGCCCAGACTGGCTTCACCTCATTTTGCTCCTTTTGTTCCCAACTTTGAATATTCCTCAATTGCCCCACAACAGATGAAGATTTTAAGAACAAACTCCCCTCTTGTATTCATAATTCGTTTTGTACCCCACTTGTGGCCAAAATGTGGTCAAAGAAAGAAAAAAGGTGGTCTAGAAAAGAAAATAGAGTTAATTGTATCCATTTCTCACACATGGTCGAACTTATGATTAATTACCGATAATCAAATGTATAATCTCTACTATTATAAAAGCATTTTGACGAGTGGTTTTGTAAATAAATAAACAATTAAAGTCTTCCATCCTACAAGGTCCTTGTTGCAAGCTTCTAGTTAATCTTCCACCCTTAACCTTCTTCGAGAGGCACCTAAACACACGCTCGAGTGCACCGACCAACATAACTCCTTAAAGTCTTGTCCTCATATTGATGAATTTTCATCAACGTTACATAGGTTTTCTCCTACGACCTAGCACTTGCAACTGGTTGAGGAACATGCCCTACACCTCACAGCATCCATGTATCCATGTAGAAGGGCCATGTTCTTGAACGACCTCATATGACTAGATGGATCTATAGACCCGTTATAAGTGATGCTGAGCTCCCCAAATCAACTCGGCAAATCGGCATGTAAGACCTCCAATGCAGAAGGATGCCCTCGAGCTTTCCCACCCCGTTTTTCTTTGACCTTGGCTTGCATCTCCCGGATTTGCTCTGCCGTTATTTCCACCGCTAGGTTGCGGTGCGCCCCTACGGTTGTGTTTTTGACATTCTTGACCTCAGTTTCTCTTCTTGTCATCACAGTGAGGTTTACTTCGTTTGACATCTGTTGTTGCATGCATCTAGCTACAACAGCGTCGATGATTAGCTTGTTGTCCTCCTTCGTGCAAGTGATGAACTGCTGGTCTGCGTGCTCAACTCCACCTACGGGTGGTCTCCTTTGATCCACCTGCAACAGATCTGGGTGTATAGGGTGTACGGGAACAATCTCAACATTCAGTCCACCTCCTGGCTAGTTGATTGGACCTCCAACGGCTACAGAGGTCGCCAATGATCCCCCTAAGCTAGAGGGATTAGCCATCGGGGTCATCGACTTCTAATGTTTTCTAAAAAAGCGTGGTGGTGGGGCTGCTTCTAGTGGTTGTCTGGAGACTCAAGCTTTGTCAAAGGTGGGCTCCAAATTCCTTTAAGGATCTACATAGACGTGGCCAGTCAACGGGTCCGGGCCGACGGTTCGCTTGGACCAGGCCCGGGACTGAACCGGACGAAGGCGCGGTCCGGGACCGATTCTCAGCCCGGTCCCGTCGGTTCGGTCCGGTTCCAGCAGTTCGCGGGTCTTTTAGTTTTTTTTTTTCTTTTTTTTTTTGGTTTTTTGGTTGCCTATTATTGGTTTAGCATCACCATGACTGTATTGTTGGCCTAAAATGAGTGGTTCTTCCTGTGAGCTCTTAGTTTTGTTATAAATTTGTGTTTTCTTTCACATGGTGTTATCTCGAGTCAAGTGATTGACCCTATTTGAATGATTGCAGACAAATGCATCATCAGGCATGGGTGTTGCCGACCACAGCAAGAGCACATACATGGAGTTGCAGCGGAAGAAGGTCCACCGCTATGTGATATTCAAGATTGACGAGAAGAAAAAGGAAGTCGTGGTTGAGAAGACGGGTGGGCCCGCCGAGTGTTACGAGGACTTCATGGCATCCCTTCCTGAGAGTGACTGCCGTTATGCGGTTTACGACTTTGACTATGTGACCTCTGAGAACTGCCAAAAGAGCAAGATTTTCTTCATCGCGTGGTCTCTCTCTCTCTCTCTC